AAATTGGAAAGTAAAACGTGTCTTAGACAATAGTGTCATGAGACTGTAAAATGAAGTAATTGATTATCTTGGTTAACCATCTGTTGAATGCTATTGCTTTATTCATTGCTTATATGTGGTTTATTATATTTCTACTGGGCTGTGGCTCACCCTTTATGGGAACATCATTTTCAGGTTCAGGTGATAAGCTACCTCCAAGGACTTAGCTTGGAAGGACTTGGATTTTGAAGACTATCTTTAGTTATTTGTTTTTCATTGTTGGTACATGTAAACACTCAAGCCTAGGGCTTTATTTATATTTGAGTTAGAACTCATACTTTGTGTCTAAGTGTTGGCTTGGAAAGATGTAAGCCGGTAGGGCATTTACTTTGATAATGCTTTTGTTTAGTAAGACTCTGATGGATATTATAATGAATTATTAAAGTGTTTTCTTTAAATAATGCATGTCAATGATATATATATATAATGGGTATTCTGAGGGCGTTACATGCAAAGGCAGGGCAAACTCAACAACCTGCAGAATGATAATCAATTCTTTTGAGCATATATTATTTTCATACATAATTCAAATACATTCGCTTATATTAGGATGGAATTAATCCTCAATTGTCATTATTCATTTGTGTTCCATACAAATTCAAAATTATTACTCACATCTGGCTTTTCTGTGCTGAAATTAATATGTTAGTATTCCTCGTGACAGGATTTGACAAAGCAGCAATAGCATGTTGTGCAATTGGCTTGTTTGAGATGGATTACATGTGTGACAAATTCAACCTTTTCACCTGTACAGATGCCAATAAATATGTATTCTAGGATTGTGAGAACCCGAATATAAAATTAAGTAAATAATTACATAATAATAATATTACAATCTCAAATATTTTGGTGGTGAATTCTAAGGTGCAAATTAAATATTTGGAGGGTCTTTCAATTAATTTTAAAACCTAAAATAAATTTATGCTGAAAGTATTTAATTTAGAGGTAAGATTTATTATAAAAAAATATATATAGAGAGAGAGGAGGGTGTGACTTGAACTCTAGACCACAAGGTTAATATATAAGACTCTTACCATTTGAGTTGAATATAATTTATATATATTTTTTGTGTATTTATCTATTTATTTGACCTATGTGTGCCCACCACTAGTATAAAATAAAATAAACATAAACCCTACTTTATTATTTGTTCACCACGTAGGGCAACAACATAGCAGCCACGGGAGAGGGTTTGAGAGAAGGAAAAAAAGAAGAAGATGTTGCAATCAAAGAACTTTTGGGTGTGTTGTGTTGTGTATGATCATCAAAGGTTAGCCTTCTTCATCCTTATTCCATTATTATTTTATTCATTCATGGAGGTTGTAGGTTTATATATTTTGTATATATATATACTGTTAAGAAATTTGAGGAGTTAAATTCATGTATAAAGAATGGGTATTATTCTTAGTTAAAAAATTCTACGCATAATCACGAACTTTAAAAATCAAGAAACCATATCAAACGGATGAATTTTAATCTGAAATTTTTACAGTAGATCAATTACATATTGAATTGCATATCTGATTTTTTTCATAATTTTTGGGAGTCGAAATCCATATAAATTGAGGTATTCAAATCTGTCCAGGAAACCAGTCCGAAACAGTAAATTCGGGAGTGTTGTTCTCTTTGGGTATAAATCCAAAAATTATCAAATTAGTGTCATTAGAACCGGTTATGAGTCTAGTTTCGTACGTTTTTGGCCTTGCATTGATTGCTCTTGTATATTAAGAGAACCGTCAATTTCTTTAAAGTGCTGCAGAAAACAACCTGTTTGGATACAATAAATTGTAGATAATTATTTTGATAAGAAAATCAAGTGAAACCAATTGGGCTTGAAACTTACGATATATTAGATCATATCTGGAGGTTATTGGAATTTTTCGAATAGCGTGGAGTGGGTTTTGTAACTTTCAAAGTTACCGAATAGGTTGGGAAGGCTTGTTTGAAATTCTATTTTATCTTTAAGTCACATTTAATTAAGTTTTGACCGGAACCCATGTCTCTGGTGATTTTAAACCTTGAAGAACATGAACTTAGATAATGTTTAAGAGTAACGGTGAGTTGGGTTGAGCAGTGTTAGTGCGCTTTAGTTTGGGGTTACTTAGTTCGTATTCTTTAGTATTTTTAAATTAGTAGTGACGTGTAGTTTTCATATTGGTTCAGGGCACTAGTTGGACTTTTATACTCTATTCGAGGATTATATTATTTCGTTTCCAGGTGAGTAGTTTTATGCTACGTATTTTTGTAAATGTTCTCCTACCTTGAACTGTTGGAAAATTAAATTGTTGTTTTAAGACTAAACTGTTTTGATAAATTATTATATTATCAATTGAATCAAATTATTTCTGAAACATGTGTGAACTTGGCATACTGTAAACTATTTGTTTTGGTCTCATGTTTATAATGATGAACCACCACGTTTTGCGAAACTAATGTGTATTGATTATTGGGACCATGTGTGTATTTAGTCCAGGGAAATTATTCCACTGTGTGTGGTGACTCTGGCCACTACGGAACAGATCCGGGTTCGGCCGTGATGACTCTAGTGCTCAACGATTGTAAGGAAAAGACCTTTAAAAACAATTAGGTGACCTTCAATCGGATCGTCTTTGAGAAAAGGCCCAGGTGCCACCCTGAGGATGACTCTTAGTTCGGTATTGGATCTAACGGGGCTTATAGCCTGAGAAATGTGTGGCATATTATTTGTTTTTATTGGTACCCAAAAAATTATTGGTGTTCATGTTATAATCTGTTTTAAGTGGAAAATGTCGTTTATCATGTTCTTGCGAGACATGAGTATTTTAAGTGTTGAATTGTGGAACCACTACTACAAACACAGATAAAGATCACACTTTTTTGGTGTGATGTATATTATTTAATCACACCTTTTAAGTTTCATTAAAGTGTGATCTTTGGGAGAGTGATTAAAAGGGGTCATTTTTAATCACACTTTTTAAGTGTGCTTAATAACATTTAGATCACACTTTTTAAATGTGATTAAAAATATTTTGATCACATCTTTTAAGTGTGATTAAAAATATTTAGATCACACCTTTTAAGTGTAATTAAAAATATTTAGATCACACTTTTAAAGTGTGATATTTGGAAGTGCGATTAATAACATTTAGATCACACCTTTTAAGTGTGATTAATAACATTTATATCACACCTTTTAAGTGTGACTGATAACTAATAAAATCTGTGATAAAAAAAGGATTCGACATATTTGAAAAATAATCAATATTATTTTTGTATGCACATTTGAAGAATGTAATACACACTATATACTATATTTTGAATCATAACCACATATTGAATAGAATAACGTCATGCATTTCATAAATGAAAATTAAATATTCAAAAATATATACAAAGGAATTAAATAAAAAAAAATTAACTGTGCTTACATATATTAAAAAATGAAAAAACTTAAAAAAACTAAGTTCTTTAATTCTTGGACCATATTTTGCATCTCCAAAAAATTTCTGACCTGAAAAATGAAAACACAAATTAATCCAGAAACCACTGATGCATATGAATAAACTAAAAAGTTAATTCAGCAAACCAAAATAGGAACATTAATCATTTCTGCTTGATCTTAATCCTTTTGGAAGTAACTTCCCTGTTAATAATTAGATGCCATAGCAGTTCAGTGTCAATGACATTGTAATTAGGAGGTCACTAATGAGCACAGTATTTAAAAATGATAAATCTCAATACAGCTTGTGTACGATCTTTTTGTGAATGTATACTATTATTATTGTTGAACCATAATTCTAGATACCCATAAATAAATAAATAAAAACTCAAGAATTTACTCCATTTTTTTTGGGAGGGGGGAGTACATACATTGCAGTTATTATCACCAGCAGCAGCAGGTTTTGGAGATGCAGAGGCTGCATTTTCTTTTGCACCTTTGGAGGAAAAAGAAGAGAAAACAGTTACCCATTTCATGCATGTCTGTCTACGAATTGAGTTCCAACCAAACCAGAAAATTTGACATAAATGTTAGATGGAAATCTGAAAAAGTCAAATGAAGGCAGATTCTAGGGAGTTCAACCAGTAATTTTAACCAAACTTTAGCAACTCAATATGAACAAATTCACAAACATAATAAAGTAAATAATACCCTATTGGAAATCAAGACAAGTTTCTTAGCAACCGAGAAAAGAGCGAGTAACCATACAAAAATTTTGTTAAAAACACTATTAATAAAACATGAAGAAACAGCGAGCAATGAACTAAATCATGATTTTTTCCCCTTAAAAATTATACCATAAGATTTCCATACCTTTCGTATCTCTATGCAAAAGGAAGCCGTTATAATCAAGCATAGTCACTAACATCATTAGCCTGGTGCATCACACACTTTCGCTTTATCAGGATTCATAAATTTGCCAACTCATATGTAGTTGTTTGGGCTAAAATTCAAAGCTTGGAAGTTCATGCTGGACATATCACACTTCTATAGCCATAGCCCCTCCAGGAGAGCTTGTCTCTCTAGTAACGGAAACTCAACATGAAGGGAGAAAACTAGAACCTTTCCCCACTCCAACAACCCCAAACCTTCTTATAGAGCTAATGGGTGGCCAATTTGTATGACATCAATAGACCAATGTGACGAGGAACATGAAGACATTGGATGAGCATAAATTGAAGATTATGGATTTACTTTAGTATTATTTTCTTATATATGATTTATTGGGTTTCATTTATTAAATTAGGATTTTCATATTGTAAATCCTATCGTAATGAGTATTTTTAGAAACTTCAATTAAGGTTTCGTAGGATGCCTATAAATAGGCTTCTATGTAATGAATTTGTCATACTTGAATTATATTGAAGAATAAGATTGAGCTTGGAGAATTGCTATTGTTCAGTTTCGTTATTTTCTTTTCTTTTTCTTTTGGTTTCAATTTTCTCTTCCATCCAGCATCACAATATTAACAAAAGTCAGGAAATACTCAGGGAATATATGAATTAATGATTACCGAATACACATCACAAGTTAGGATAATTCACTAGCTCCCATGCAAATTTGTAGAAAATTTTTAAAAATTGCCAAATATATGTTCCATTAGGCTACCTGCAAGAACTGGCACCAGTGATCAACCAATGGCCACTGCTTTTCTTCAAAAAGCAACTGCCACATCCCGATTGCAGTATCCAATGCCAAAGATTTCTGACCCTGCGATTGGCAAAGAAAATCAACAACTGCAGAGTATTCCACATATCCCAAAGTTGCAAAATATGAAATATCTATTTGATAGCACCAGAAAAAGCATCCATTTCCAATTGCTCTTCGGAGAACCGATTATGATTTTCACTTGCAAACAGAAAGAAGAAACTAATTGCAGTCATGTCCTTTGAGGACCTAATCTGATGAGTTTGGGGGGGGGGCATAGCCCACCAATCCATGCATTTGACGCTTTACATTACAGTAAAAAACACTGTCAATTATGTGATTAGACTAAGCCAAAATTGCAAAACAAAATTACTTCAACTCATGGATTTAATCCTCTAGTGCTGCCTCCCATGCTTCTCCCACATTATAACTAAAGACCTCAACTGTTTTTTTAGAGGTTTCTACTTCTAGGTAGAAGTTAAAATGTGTTTTTCCACGAGGGTTTTAAACATTTGACCAACTCTAAAGCAACTAGTGGGGAACACCGACGATCTGGACCATACAAAAACAAAACTGAAACCACTTCCAATTGACTTGTAAGCAAAACAATGATTGGACAATATGACTGTGTTTGGGTTGTCATAAAATAAAAATGTTTTTCTAATGAAACCCATACCCTGATCAACTCTGAAGCTACCCAGTAATTTTTATTCTCAATCCTGTGCTTTTTATATGGGGTCATGCTATGGGCTGTCATTAAGGTGAAGAAAATGCCATTATAGTTAGAATTTCAATGCACTTTTCATATATTTTCACAATTTTTTACATATTTTTATACACTTTTTCAATACACTTTTTACACCTATATCAAAGCTAATGACCACCCAATGAGCGGTCATTAGCATTTTCCTTATATATATATATATATATATTTTGTCCGCTCTCACTCTCGCTCTAGATACATAGGTCATGTTTGAGAACTAATGTCTATTAATTGCATTAGCACATATGCTGGCATATACTTCCGAGTCAAATTAATTGTCATTAATAAAAAACTATCCACCAAGACAATACAGACAGAAAAGGCAGGCATCATTACAAGGGTATATCATCAATAGAACATGGCATACCACCTCATGAGAAATTATACCAAGGTTGATATATCTTCTGGGAACTTTGACAGTACGACAGAAAACCAATAATGAGAAATGTAAATCCAAGTCTTTATGCTTATTACACATACCTTCTCCTTTGCCCAGCCAAAAGCAAAGTCATAGATCTCACGGAACTTTTCTAGACAACCATATTGAAGATTAGTTCAGTAACAAAATAGTGGAAATTCTAAAGTTCATAAAATCAATCTCCTCATAGAGGGCTCAAGTTCAACATCAAGACAGCATTTGAACTGACTTTGTGATGAGCAACATGACATAATAGAAAAATCATGAGTTATAACTTATAACTACTAGCATGTAGCAACTAATGAAGGAAAAACAATGTCACATTTACATCCGCTCATCTTTCAGCTCAGAATGCATAAATTGTATCCTGTCACAGAACTTCTCCAGTGAATCTATCCTGATATCAAAAAATAAAAACTTTGTGAAGTTGATATCATAATGGTTCAAGGCTGGTTTTGTTGATTAAGAATAAGCAGCGAATACAACTCAACAAAAAGTTACCCAAGAGCTTGTAAACCACCAATGAACTCCTGCTTGGAAAATTCACACATGGTGGCAGCCTTCGTGTGCCAAGAAAGAACTAACTACAGCAAGGCAAAAGGTCCATGTTAGCTAGACGTTTACATGTTATTAGTTCATTTACTAGATAACTAATAATTCTATCAAGAGAAACCAAAAGAATCTTGATATATAATGTAAACACAGATCCGATTTCATTAATATATATGTCGATATTGGAACAATGCTTGAAAGCTTTTGAAATATATTTAGTCAATAATTCAGCAATATAAACCAATAAAGTAATAACCTGCTTGAGTATATTCATCAATAAGAGAATGAGGAACTGAAACAGAAGTTTAAGATCTAGTAAAGTGAAAGAGAAGGAAACTACAGTATGCACCTTGTAGCAATTGATGGACAAAAAAATAGGAAATAGTGAGAAAAGAGCTCTATAGATCATCAAAATTCACTAAGCATGCACTTCTAATCTTGTAGACATTATCATAATGCTGGAGCTTAGAGACATCGTCATTCACTCTTATATGGCAAGCGATGAGAGGCAACAATAAGATCTAGCCAGTATCAACCACGACAAGGTTGAATTGCAACACTGCATGTTACACCTGCATCCTATTTCACTAGGAAAGACAGCTCCTCAATCAAAGTGATTTCATTCCATTCAGTTAAAGACAACGTGTAGCAAACACCCTTTCCAGCCATCTCAAGTATTCCAAACCAAACCAAACCAATTCAGCATATTTATGGCAAAAGAAAAAAGTAACTTAGAATATTTAGCAAATTTAGCACTGAGTCTTGCTTACCTATGTGATCCAATTGGAATGTTTGAGATAGAAAACTTATCTATGCTGTTGTAAGTTAAATTAGAATGCTCCAAAGATCCATTGGTATAATTAACTGGCACCAAGACTGTGAAAGCAAGGAATGCAATAGGAACAAAAAATTTAAGATATTTATATCCCGTGTAAAACAGGCTTGAAGCAAAAAAGAGGTTGGAATGGCATATTTTCAAGGTTAGCATATTCCTTTACTTACAATATTGCAAACAACAACCTGTAAACAACTTCAATTTGAAACAAAAAAGAGGCTGGAATGGCAGAGTGAACCTCAATTAAATTATGAAACAGGAGTCCGGAAAAGTAGGAGCTAAGCAAACACAACCAAAACAGATGTAGCACAAAAGTTGTGCAACTATGGAATGCCCTTCAGTCAAACATAAACTGAATATAAATCAAGTGAAAGAGGCAGCAGGCTTGAATGAATTGCAATCCACATTGAAATCGTGGGGAATTTTAGTTGGAAAAGTCAATAAATGAATTACAATCTATTCCAGTCAATAAATGCATTTCTTCTGTGAGCAATTTTAGTTGGAAAAGTCAACCACATTCTTTTTCTTTCTTTTATTTTCTTCCCCCTCTCTCTTTTCCAAATACAAAAAAGGGGGCATTGTCCAAGGCCCATCTCAATTGCAGGTCTGTAAATAACCAATATGACACTATAATATTTAAACTTAGTTCATCTAGATTACAATATGGAACAACTATAGAGTTATTGGTAGGACGGTATATAAATGCATATATGCACACACACACACACACATATATATATATATATAGAGTATACATGTCAAGAGACAATTTTTTTGGGGACTAACCATCCCCAACCCATTCCCCGATGGAGAATTAAATTAGATCACCTACTGACCTGATGCATAGAGAAATTGGGAAAACCCACATATTTTGGGTAGGGTCTCCATGGATAACCATTGGGTATGGTTTTTATTGCCATCCCTAGCGCATTGCATTCAAGTTGTCTATACTCCATCGGCATAAAGCATCCTAAAACAAGAGAACTACAAAGATCTACTTTCAAAATAAAAAGAGATCTAACCAACATTATTGTTGAAATCTTTCTACAAATCATCAATAAAACCATGCATTTCAATACACCCTTCTGATAAAGACAATAAATCTCCTCAGTTGACATTACAAAATTTTAGCAATCATGATAAATTATCACATACCCACATCACAACAGTACCCAAAAAAGACAAATATTCAATACCCACGAAGCAATTTCACAAACTACTAATAAATTACAAACACCCAATAGTGCATAACATCAGATATTGCATATAAAATGTGAAAACCAAAGAATAACTCAACAAAAGAACAAATCGAGATATTAATGACCCAAAATCAACAATAACAATATGATCAAATCAAGGTCTAATGTGTTCTTACCAAATACATGAATCAACCATAAAGTGGAATTGGCTGAAGAGAGTAAGAAGATAGATTTGAATATGGGTTTAGAGCTTCGCCTACTCTTCTTCTTTTTTGGTCTCAAATATGAGTGGAACTTCAAGGTGAATCCTACTCACTGAAGAAAGTTAATTACAAGAAATATCCCTAAAAAATAGTTCAGGTGCATCTCTTTATCAATATTAATTCAGAGGGATTAGGTCTCTCCCCTAAAATTTATCAATATTAATTTAGAGGGATTAGGTCTCTCCCCTAAAATTCTGCTGTAACATTATCAAAAACAAAAACAAAAAAATTTAATAATAATTATTATTATATTGTATTCTGATTCTGCTATATCAAGGCTTATTCAGCTGTGACCTCTCACCCAACTATCTTTGACATCTCATGATCAGGATGTAATTGTAATTTATCAAAAAATGCAGTACAAACAATAGCTACCTTAGATTTTTTTTCCCCTTTTTTGCAATGTATCAAGGCTTATTCAGCTGTGACCTCTCACCCAACTACCTTGGACATCTCATGATCAGCATGCAATTGTAATGTATCAAAAAGTGCAGTGCAAACAATATTTATCATAGATTTCTTTTCCCATTTTTTGCAATTCTAGCCAAACAAATTAGCAAGTTACAAAAATATTACATCATATTCACCTGGGAAGCATACAAAACTTTCCAAAAACCAAAATTTAAAAACCTCTACATTAGAAAAAAGATCAGGTACTGAAACAAATTTGAATTAAAAATGTAATACCATTTTCCTCCAAAAGTAAACCAGTACCATCAGCAAAGTAACCACATATAGTTTGAGGCAAAGCACATGTCTACTCTAAGAAAACCATCAAGTTAAGGAATCATACACTGAGTACACATTGCTATTACAGCTTACTCAAGAAAATTGTGAGCAGAGATGTATTAGATGATTTCAGTGCAACTAGACAAATCAACGAATAAATGGGAATAAGTGATCATACCAGTTGCAATTCTTCTGCATCAACCAAAACAATTTGTGACAGCTCTTGAAGTAGCTCCATATCCAAGAAAGCACTTGTGTTGTCAATTATAGGAATAGTGCCCTGCCAACTATCAAAGCCAGACCTTCTACACAATACATCAGTGGAGAAAATGCAGCAAGCAGCTGAATTTGTGAGTGGAAATGAATGCTTAGTAGTCTGTATAACAGCTTGCAACTTTTGCTTTTCATGTTCAAACCTTCTCAAAAGCATCTAGAAAAGCTCATTTGAGTTCAACTAGAAAGGTAAACGAGCCACCCTCAGACATATTTTGAAACTAGTTAAGTTTTCAAATCAAATTTGAATAACTTACAATTCAACTAACATACAATCTTATATCAATGTCATAAGGATTACTCTATATTTTCTCATGATATCTTTATTGAGGACCTATCAATTTCTTCACCTAAAGGTGTTTTGGAAATTAATAAAGACCTAAAAAAATTTTAAAAAATTTTCTCGTTTTGTAAATTTTTCAAAATTGTGTCAAACTAAAAACAATATGAAAATGATAAATGTTTTCTAACTCTACTTCTACCATTTTTTTTTCTTCAAAAACTTAAAAAATGCAAATGACCAAACAATTCAATAGCAAAATGAGGTCAAGTAGCAAACATACCAAAAAGAGTGGTGGATTCAAAACATATTTTTCAGTTTAAACAATGTATCTTCTAAGACAAAATCATCTATACTATTATAAAGTGAAGGCTGGAGTTTGTATGGCTATGGCGAACGACCCTTGGAGTCCTCTTGCTGCCGCGTCTGCGACATTACCGATGCTCGCAGAAAACAACCACCACCACTAATAAGCTGCCATGGCTATGGCGGTGGGGGCAACATAGAGATATAGAGGAACCATTTCAA